TAAGGGACTCAGACGTCACCGGAATAGTCTGCCTGTCTGGCTGTAACGAAGTCTCAAGCCCAGAATGACGCAATCGAACCTGCTAGCTGCGCGCAAAAAGTCGACTTTTCCCCCATCACGAGACTCAAGTTGATACTATTTTTAGCCTGAGCGACTGGTAAGATGGAATTGCGAGTCTAAACTCTTATCTACGGAGGAGATAGACAAGACGATGTCCATCATTTCCTCGGCCAAATGACCTCTTTATCCGGAACAGGGGAAATAGGGGGCTGAGGGAGGACCATACTTTTAACTTTTTCCGTCTTCGAGGGATGTCCGCCGAAGCCTTGCGTCTAATTTAGTCCCAGTCTTGTGGACTGCGTTCTCCAAAATTATTACGCGCCAGGATGTAGTTCCATTTGTTGAAAAATTAAACAGCCATTTGGGATGTTTCATGTTTTCATTTCATGCTTCGGTAACAATCGGGAGATGGCATCCAAAAAAATCCGCCCAACCAAAGCAGCCTGTCTTACGGGACAGGTGGCAATAGGGATTTTATTGGTGGTGGCTGGTCGGGATGTACGATACTAGCCGACTGAAAGCCTTATTTGAACAGATGAATGAACGAAGTTGGCCCGCTCTCAGTTCCGTTATTACAAAATAGGTCGCCAAAGGCAGTATAGTGGTAACGGACAAGTGGAGGGCGTATAATCGTCTTCCCTCAGAAGGTTATCTACACTTCTCTGTTAACCACTCAAAGAACTTCAAGGACCCTACCACCGGACGGCACACCAATGTCATTGAGGCATACTGAAGTAGACTGAAAAGGAAACTCCACGAGGAAGGCCCTGTATGTGGTCGACTTGTGTGAACTCACATAGACGAAGTACAGTATCGTCTTTGGTTTGGCCTCAATACCATGTCTTTGACAGATGCCTGGGAACTGTTCCTGTCCCATGTTGTGCAGGCTTAACCTATTTAAAAGTGATTTTTTATTGTAATAAACTGCCATAATGCGAATGTATGCCGCATATTCAGGTGCATGTATGTAACGATGGGGAAGGTTGGGTAACAGTGACCATCGTCCATGTAACCTCCTGCGATGTTCGTGCGACCAGCCCATGTTAGGCCGTCGCGGAAAGTCCAAGTAGTGCGGGAAAGTAGGCCTGCAACCGCTGATATAGCCTGAAGGCATTTGAGTCCACTGTTAAAGATATTATTTCTAGGTAACGAATTTTTTTGGGTGGCATCTCCCGATTGTTACCCATGCTTCATGTTTTACGGCTTGACTTACTCCTTATTGGCGGATAAATTTGTGCGCTTCTGCATGTTTCGTGTTTTGACATAAATTGTGGTTCTTGTTTGAAATTTATACTCTCAAATAGAAGAAAATACTGTGCGTTGCATTTGCGCCAGCCATCCGCATACGTATACACACACTGTCGGCGACTTAAATCCCGAGATGTACGTAACTTAGCGAAAATTCCTGATCAGTCGGAAACCGGGCCGAATGTAGCGACCAAAACTCCCAACCAATGATTAACGACCTTCAGTTGAGTTGAAAGTTGAAAGAACTGTCTGAATTACATTAGAGATAACAATTTTCTCAGAAGAAGTACGCAAATTTTTATCAGATGTGCTAACTTGATTTTTGATAGTGCATACAGTCCACTCATATCCACAGTTCAGTCCCGGGACGAAGAAATGGGAATCGAACTAGTACATGCAATGGTAAACATATCATTTTCTCTTTATCCCGAGAAATGCGTGTGTTGTTGTGGTATTACGCCATTAGGAGATGAGTCTGTATGTACCCTTATCGCATGGATTATGACAACATTTCACAATGACGTTCGAATGGTGCTGGAGTTGCTGCGTTATCGAGCTACAGCGTGGTACGGAACTTGTTGGTAAGGTTTTATTCTAATCCATATTCCGACAGTGGTGTGCACCTTAAAGGTCTAACTGCGGCGCGCCATTAAATACTCTACAGGACCGATGAAGCGATTACTCTCACAGTGATGTTTGCTCCGCTGGGTAGTCATTTTGCAGTTTTTTTGCTATATACAAGCGACTGCCGCCATCCCGGACTTCGAGGGAATTCGCATATTCCCCAAGCGTGCGAATACTAGACGCATAGCTCTGAAGACCGGTCCATCATCTCAGTAAATGGACGTCTGTTTCATCAAGCATTTTGTTATCCATTTCACTTTTGCACAACATGTCGTCGGTGTTTTCCAACTTGATCAAAACAATCGTGCGCATGCAGTTCTACGGGCTTTATAGCTGTGATGCCGATGAAAGCCAAATTGGAGTCGAAACAGTGCTGGTACTTCGGGAGAGTAAAAGTGAATCAACACTGATTCTTGCACCCGTTTGATCTACCAATGCCAGCGCTGGGAGGCATCCAGCCCTCCGGCTAAAGCAATGACCAATTTCAGCTGTTGCAGACGGAAAACAAGCAGCCGGAAGTCTGAAATTGATGGCGTTTTCGCATAAACAATAGAGGGGTGACGCAGCGTAAACAAGGCGGTATGGCACAGCTTTGCGTACGGCGAATCAGATTAGACCGTTTTGTTTGTCCAAGCACGCTACATGTTTGTCGTTCTCGAGAGACTGCAATCACAAGAAGCGTGTGCAAAGTATTTCATCTAGAAAGAAGTCCCCCGCAGATGGCACTGGACTGCGGTCTCCATCGCCACCAGCACATCATGGGTGGAAGCAGAAATCAACTGGTCAGACGAGTCCAATGGTGGCGTGTGCCGCCTTCTGAATGATGAAGGAAGACCCCAACTGGTGGCATTTTAGAAAACTACGTCGTCTCGATATTTTGCCGTGGTGCATTTCGGTTAATAACATACTTCAGACTTTAGACACTCCCAACTGCTCGTCGAATTTGTGCGTATCCCAAAGCAAAAAATATACTTGACGCTGCTCGCAGAACGTCAGACATCGTTAAGCCGAGGGTGCAAGCTGGAGTCACGGAGTCTTGTAGAAGCCGGGAGACAAGAAGCCGACAGGCAGAACAGACGCTGGAGTTGTCCGGTTTTTGGAACTGAGCACGGATGAGGCGACCAACGGGCGACGAGAAACCGCGACCTCTGCCACCGACGACGGTTGACGACGGCACGTGTCCAAAAGCCCGAACAGGCATGATGACTCCTCTGACGACTGACCACTGTTTTCCATCGTCACGGTTGACAGTTTTGAGGATTTTGGCATGGCTTTTGATGACAACAGTAAAGAAAGATGGAGACGCCCGCAGGAAGTTGACGGACAGAGTGGTGCGGAATGGCGATCTTCAGATCGGTCGAAACACTTACTCTGCTCCAGAAAAGGCTTACTTTTTTAATATCCGTGAACTCGAAATATTCCGAGTTTCCAAACAGTTAGAGAGGGCCAAGACGCATTTGTCCAAAAAAGATCATGGGGACGAACCAGCGTGTTTGACGTTTTTTTAACAGAAGAACGTTGTCGAAAATGCCCATTGCTTAGGCAACAACTGCTCCAGTGTTTATTCGATTTTCGACTTTGTGGAAGATTATTGATGAACGACCGATAGGAGGGTTTGGCGGTGTCCGTCCCACAAAAGCCATGAGAATTTTTCGCACATACCGAAGACGCTTTTAAACTTCCTGCATTCAAATGTAAATATACATGCAGGTACCTTTACAGATACTGGACATTTAACATATCGTATTTTTTCCGTCGTGTGAGATAATTGTATTCCGTCTCTATGCTGGCGACAACTTAGTAAGTCTGTCACGGAGTTTGCTGTGATGCAGTGAATATAGGGTTAGAAATGCATTCCAGCCATCAACTGTCCTCCTCGCATTTTCGCCTCCATGATGGAAAAGGCGTTAAAATTCAGGTAACATTGGCTGGGACGTTAGAATGCACCGTCAGTTAATGGCATAGGTGCGAAGATTGAAATAAACTCGTACGGATGACTCCCATTGGGGCAAGCTCCGGTATATTAATTTCCCGCAGTATAGAACAAATGCCTTCACCCTCTTTCGCTTACGTGTATAACTGCGAATGTTTGTCATCAACTGTCTGAAATATAAAGTTGACCTTTCCTTTTCCTGGGTGCGAATGAGGAGGGGTTTAGTTCAAAAGGCAGCATTACAAAAAACCATGTCGGGGTATTGCGGTGCATAGCATATTTGGATTTTTGACACTCCCAACTCCTCGTCGAATTCGTGCGTATCATAATACAAAAACTCTATTTGACGTTGTTCGCAGAGCGTGAGACATCGTTAAGTCGAGAGTAAATGTAGGGTAGGCACGGATTCTTGTTGTATCCGGAGGAGGAGGGGCCGACAGGCAGAACAGACGCTGAATTTTTCCGGTTTCTGGAACTGAGCACGGATGCAGGCGCCCAACGGGCGACGAGAAACCGCGACCTCTGCCACACACGTTGTTTCCCTCATGCTGCCGACGGGGGTTGACGACGGCACGTGTCCAAAATGCCGAACAGGCATGATGACTCCTCTGACGACTGACTACTGTTCTTTTTCGTCACGGTTGGCAGTTTTGAGGGTTTTCGCATGTCTTTTGGCGACAACAGTAAAGAAAGCTGGAGACGCCCACGGGGAGTTGGTGCGGAGTGGTGATCTTCAGATCGGTCGAAACACTTACCATGCTCCAGAAAAGGCCTAATATTTGAATATCAGTGAACTCGAAATATTCCGAGTTTCCAAACTTTAAACATAGACACGACGCATTCCTCCGAAAAGGAACCATGCGTACGAATCAGCGTGTTCGACGTTTTTTAACAGATGAAAGTTGTCGAAAATACACATTGCCTCGGCAACAACTGGTTCACTGTTTATTTGATTTTCGGCTTTGTGGAAGCATTCAAATGCAGGTATTTATGCAGATATCTTTACAGATACTTGACATTCAACGTATCGTATTTTTTTCATCGTGGGAGATCATTGTATTCCATCTGTATGCCGGCGAAAACCTAGTTGGTCCGTCACGGAGTTTGCTGTGATGCAGTGAATGTAGGGTTAGAAATGTATTTCAATTATCAACTGGCCCCCTCCTCCTCTTCCACCACCACCACCACCACCACCACCACCACCACCACCACCACCACCACCTACAGTTCGACGGTCGCATCCGACGATGTCCACCGTATGCCCACAGCAAATGGTGAGAGCAGGGACGGTTTGTTGTGCCAGCAGACTTGCGCTGCATCTACCTACACTCTCTCCTCCTCCTCCTCCTCCTCCTCCTCCCCCGCCTGAGTCCGGTGTCCAGACAGAGTCCAGAAGACTGGAGTCGAGGGAGGCCACAGGTTGATTGCTTGGACGGATCCTCGCCTTGGCGCTCCACTCCGCGTCCCCTGATCCACACAACAAATGACCAGGATTTTGACAGCCACAGAAATGGAGTGCGTGGCAGGGATCCCAGTTGTGCGCGACTGTCGACAGCAGGGACTGCCAGCGCACCCCCTACATGTTGGCATTTGTTATTGCGCACAGATTACGCCTGCCAGAATCCGATGTGGCCCCCGTGTTGGTCCAGCGCATCTAACACGTGGCCCGTTTGGGGGGCACACCACCACCACCACCGCCATATCTATGGAGTAGGAGAATAATGAGATCATCTGCAAATTACGCTAGCACTATTTTGAAGGAAGTAATATCCGATGCAAATTTTACAAAACATTCACCGGCAATTCTTTGTGGTGGCGACAGTCGCTGTTTTCAGTCGTCAGAAATCGCTTATGATCTTCTGGTGCTATCTGTTCTGCGTACCCATTAATATTTACAGTGAATGGGAGCCTTTTTTGTTGAAAATTTTGCAATGGCACTTCAAAAACAAAGCGTATCTTCCGTTCCAATGGGCTGCGTTGTCTCCCTCCCCCCCAGCTTGCAGAGACGTGTGAAATCGACCAACGGTGAGCGATCTCAGGGCTCTCGGAGGGACCCTCGTAACTCGGATGGACAGAGTGTCGGCTGTGGTCAAGCCTTGCATTTTCGGTCTTGGATGCAAGTATTTCCGGCGTCGCTCAGTTTATCACAGTTGGGACAGTGGAATCATTCAAAGCTACGCCAAAACACCCAAGAACTGGTGTTTACACCAAAAGAGATCGTCACCGAACCAGCTGATCGTCCAACCTCGTTCGCCGGGACCAGTGGAGAGAGGTCGTGGTTGGTATGACAACAACCGCTCTCTCTCTCTGCCTTGGCCGCGACACGCACATGTAATGTTTATTGCGATCGCACACGGTGCAACCATCGACGGCCGTTCATTTCCCCAATGCGCCTGATAGCCGCCTTTGCCCACGCTCAGGATTTCGCGACAGGCCCCGTGTCTCGACGCTGTCACATGTTCCCGCGTCCTCTGTAATCTGTCCTGTCTGGTTTAGCTGTCTGTTTTCATTCTGTTCTGATGAACTGCTGGGATGTGAACGGATCATATCAAAACAGGGACACAAAAGTGCATCAGGCAACTGAACTAGTCCATTGCACTCTGTCATACCTAGAACTGATAAACGTAGACTCGCCCTAAGATTGAGGACGAAGTGAGTACCAATTAGCTGACGAATTTGACCTTCGGGACTGCGAAGACCCAGAAAACCAATCGGTTTAATAGATAGACCTTTGAACATATTAACGCCTAATGACCAAGGAACCCGGGTTCAGATCGCACGTGCTCCAAAACCTGTTGTTGGTTATGACTGGCTGTTGGCTGCTAACTAGCCAAAAATGATCTCCCAGTTTTCCTAGTCTTCGTCAGGTCTATTTTGAAATATTTTCTCAGTTGCCTGTCTGCTGTCATAATGTAAGCATCTATTCAATATTATCTGCATTGCTCTTCGTATATATTTATACTTTTTTGAAATCGACAAGTCGCTCCTATCAGGTAAAAAGTGTATTTACTTACCAAAATAAATGGATGTATTTAACAAGTATTTTAGATATGCCCTACAAAGAAAGTAAGAAAACCACGAAAATATGAG